CCACCGACACTTGAAGGAATGTTGGAGTTATACAGTCCCCGCCAACATAATAAAAATTTAAAAGGTTTAAAACAACTTTAAAAGCTAATATCACAGAAACAGTTCAGATGTGTTTAAAACACGATTACACGATTTCGGACACGAAATTAAAATCGCGATTCAAAAGTTCGCGTGGTGCGGCCATTTTGATACCCGGTATCCGTTTGGCCCTGAGCATCACGCATTAAGTTTCGGAACTTTTCACTTTAAACCGAATTTATCCTCGTCGCCATGTGATGTGGTGGTGGTGGACACAAACAACTACACGAATATAATGATGGAAATATGAGTGTATTGTTGTAAAATACACGAACGGGAAAAAGTACGGAAAGGGCGGCCGGCGTGGCCCAGGCCCAAACGGATAATGGAGCACAATTCTCACAGCCAATCAGGGGAGGGTAGTGGCTGGCGCCATGACAGGTGACAAGGGCTGCCAACCACACACCAGCACATTCGAGGAGTTTGCCACACCGTACTGCAGGTGCAAAACATTCATAGAAGTAACATAGTAACATGCAACACTCTGTACCACATGCAGGGTGTCGCAAAAGTTTGGTCCACTGTCAGTAAAATTTTTTCTAATTTATTTTTTGAATCAGAACTTTAAGGGTGTTCATGGGTCAGTGTAAGCTTCTTTTGGGGCTCCTAAAAATTATTGAAGTCCTCCACAATGGGGTTGGGCTGCAGACCCTAACTTTTCAATTGGCGAAACCCCCTCTTTGTGACACATCATTCAAAAGCTGATAAAAGAAGAAAATTTTTAGTGCAAAGCACAAGTCGAATTCTTGAATTTGTCATATTAGTGCATTCATTTACCATGACTGTCAAAAATTGCTGTTTTTGGGCCACTGATGCCCTGGAGCTAAGTAAGACTAAACAAATTCGATTCCTCACCTAAAATTATTTATGAATTGACATTCATAACAACATATAAGTTGTCTCACCTCAAAATTGAGTAAAGAAGAAGTTGATAAACCAGTCAGTCAAAAACGCCGTAATTGAGTTCAAGGAGCCTTAAAACTATTCTCAATCGATTACTCGTCATAAACTACGAAGAATTTGGTATGCTGTATTTTTTCTTCGGACTGAAACCGTCAAAAAGTTGATGGCACGCACCATTTTAGCCATAAAAACACAAACATGATTTTATTTTCAATGAGGTCGACAGAGTATCTTGATTTTTAGCTTAAATATTGCTGACACCCCACTGCAAGATTCCTTGCAAGGGCAAAGCAATATCATTTAATGTCACCCGGATTGACCAGACCAACCATGGTGGCTTTATGAAAGGTCATTCTGTCGTCTCCAAATTTCTTAAACAGGGCGGCTGGGGGTTAAAAGGCCATACTGCAGGAGCGTGTTCCGTAGGGAAAATCAAGACACTTTTCTTCCATGAAGTTTTATATGAAAACTCAATCTACGGCCTCAATTTAAGGAAAATCATTCTTTTTCCTGAATTTCGGCAATGGTTATGGACCATAAGTCATGAATAATTGTCAGCCTGCTTATTCTTAGTGCTAAATTCAATCATTGCCTCGAAAATATTAATATTGCAAGTTGGGAGGGGGGGGGATGTTAGAGGTCCTGGATATTGTAACGGCAAAAAACTGAGAGTTTTGCCCATGTAAGGTGCCAAATTTAGGGCACCATGGAGAACTTATTCCTGCAGTATGGCCGTTTGTTGATTGTAATAAAAGAACACTACGAATCACTTCTATGACTTTTATTATCAAAGAGACACTCTCATTTTTTAATAATTAAAAACAGCTGATAAGATTATAATCCACAACAATCCACCCCTTAATCGCAATCAGGTGTCATCATAGATAAAACCTAATGGTTGTTCCATATAAATTTCTTCGTCAATGAATCCATTTAAAAACGCAGTTTTAACATCCATGCTATGTAGTTCATAGTTTCTGTCATTAGCTACACTTAATAGTGTTCGAACAGTTTGCAATTTTACTACTGGAGAAAAGATTTCATCATAGTCTACTCCATGTATTTGTGAATAACCCTTAGCCACCAGCCTAGCCCTATATCTTTGTATGTTACCTAATTCATCGGTTTTTATGGTGAACACCCATTTGTTACCTATTATATGTCTACCCTGTGGCTTATCTATAAGGGTCCACGTCTTGTTTTCAGCCATAGAATTAATCTCTTCTTCCATCGCAGCCATCCATTTATCTTTATCGGGTGAATTCATCGCTTGATTATAATTTTCTGGTACATTGTGAATTATATTTGCTGCTTGGAACGCAAAGACAGCAAAATCTTCTATCGGTGTTTTAACGTTATGCATCTTTCCTTCAATTTCCTTCATTTCTGTAGAACCTTTGTTATCTTGCTCTTCCTCGGTTGCTTTTATCGCCTTTAAAAACTGTTTCTTCACCGAGGACTCGTCGAACTTAACGTCTCTACTAAAAATAACTTTTTCATTTGCGAAATCCCATAATTTGTATCCGTGTTTTACATATCCTAAAAACATACATTTCGTTGATCTGGCATCTAATTTTGAGCGTTTTTGTTTAGGAACGTGTGCATAAGCTTCACAACCAAATATTCTAATGTGTCTAAAGTTTGGTTTACTGTTGTACCATATTTCTGCTGGTGTTTTATGATGTTCAAGCGCGCAAGTTGGTAATCTGTTTACTAAATAATTTGCAGTCAAAACTGCATCTCCCCAAAAGATTTTACCCATTTTTGAATTATGCAGTATGCATCTAGCTTTTTCTAGAATTGATCTATTTAGCCTCTCAGCAACTCTATTTTGTTGTGGAGTATAAGTCATGGAAGGAGTAATTCTAATCCCTTTATTGTTACAAAATTTTTTGAATTTTTCCGAGAGATACTCTTTTCCATTATCACAAATTAAATTTGAAATTTTAGACTGAAACTTAGAAGTAACTTCTGCTTCATATTTAACAAAAATATCATAGACCTCGCTTTTATGAGACATTAAATAAATTTGAGAAAAGTGACTAAAGTCATCAATGAAAGAAACAAAGTAACGTTTTCCATCATGTGTTTCTGGTGTGACTGGCCCAAAAATATCTGTATGAATTTTTTGTAAAAATCTTGTACTTCTTTTTGATGTCCCCTTTTCAAATGGTAGGCGAGTAAATTTTCCTGTCATGCAACTTTCACATAAGGTCTTAGAGGTCTGTTTGAAATCATTAATAGTTAAGTCGAACCCATCAGCCATATCGTGTCTGATCAATTTCTTTAAATTCTCGTCACCAGGGTGGCCTAACCTCGCATGCCACAAATCAGCCCTGCCTAGTGCACAGAAATGTTTCTCTTGGTTGCCCTTCACATTGGAGAAAATAAGTTTGTACATTCTACCTTGTAAGTTACCCGCGACTAGTAATTTGTTTTTATGCAAAATTTCTACATGATTTTGATGAAAAACAACATTCATACCTGCTTTAGTAATTTTAGGTACGGAGAGCAAATTTGCTCTTAAATTTGGAACAAGCAAAACATTTTGAATAGATAATACCTTTCCAGTATCAAGTGTAACAGAAATTGTGCCAATGTGAGATGCAGACAAAGTTTGATCATCCTTTGCAATTGCAATTGAGATGGGAGGATCCAGTTTTTCCAAAGTTGTAAACCACCTTTTATCATTACACAAATGTTCTGTAGCCCCAGAATCGAGAATCCACGTCCTGCCCACTTCTTCCTCATTGTTGAACGCACAAACAGATGAAGTGAACGCTACATCTTGACTGGAGTCGCTGTCTTGATCTTCTATATCAGATGAATGTTCTATCAACGTTGATCCATCTTGAGAAAGATGTACTTGATGTTTATGTTTTGATGACGTTGATGAGTTTTTCCTTAGGTAGCAATCCGCCCATTTGTGACCTTTTTTCCTGCAAAAACCACATTTGTACACGTTTCCTTTACTCTGAAAAGCCGCCTCTCTCGAACAGGAAGGTCCATTTGTCTCTGACATTTTTAGTTCGAAATTAAGGAGTTTTTCTTTGACAAAAGATAAATTTAATTTTTCTTCGTCAACTGTGTCCAACGCAGTCAAAATTGAATCATAACTTTCAGGTAAAGACAATAAGAGGTAACTGACGACTTCGTTCTCTGTGACGTTGCCTCCGGAATCTTTTAATTCCCGTATTAATGCATCATAACGCAGGAAAAAATCATCCAATTTTTCATCGCCCAAAAATTTGAGGTTAAGAATTTTCTTCCTACAATAAGTCTGAGACAGTATACCCTTCTTTTCGAACTTATTCTTCCAAGCCTCAAACATTTGAAATGCCGTTTCCTTGTCTCGCACATATTCCAACATATTATCGTGTAGGCTTTGAACCAGAAAGGATTTGCATTCCCGCTCCTTTTTTCTCATTGTAGTTATAAGAGATGCAGAATCTTGTTCATTTCTTCTTTGAAGTAAATCATTGATATCGTTTTCTACATAAAGAAGTAGTTCTTTCTCTTCCAAAATCAGTTTCATACGAAATTTATAATCCGCAAAGTTTTTCCCATTGAAAATGGGAATTTTCATTTTTTCTAAATTCATACTTGACATTTTGAGGTTAAAACTTGTAGGTTAAATGTAACTCACCAAAAAAAAAAACCAATATAACTCCTAGAATTTGGAATTCTTTCGGAGAAAAACTTACGAGCTGGAAAACGCCTTTCGAAACTCATGTTCTGGGCCCATAACCATTGTTGATTGTAATAAAAGAACACTACGAATCACTTCTATGACTTTTATTATCAAAGAGATACTCTCATTTTTTAATAATTAAAAACAGCTGATAAGATTATAATCCACAACACCGTTCAACTCTGGGACGCCCTGTATTAGAAGGTTGCGGATGACAGAAGTTAGGAGCAGATTTTATAATGTGTTGACTCAAAATTATTGACCGTCATGACCCACCTCAGGAAATCTCAGTCTACTTTCTTTTCTTTCTTCTTTTTTATCGTTCCAGTTGAAGTCATCAACCCCACCGTAGCTTTCAGAAATTTAAGAGGTCATGATGATGTTCTCGTCCCAGATGTTACCAGGTAAGCACTGTGCATCGTAGAATTTTATTCAGCTTACAAGGGGAGCCTCCCAGCTACAGCCTGCGATTAGGCTGATATTCTTTCTACGAACTCTTTAGATGAATTCATTCATGACTTTGTTTTTTTGTTTTTTACAATGCGCCCTAGAAACGCCCTAAAAAAATTCTGGTAAGTGGGTTTTGAGCGTGCGTCACATACTCAGTCACTTTGCACTAGGAAGAGGGGAGGGGGGCTAGGCAAGGTGAAGCAGTGCTGGAGCCTACATGAGCAGTGTTCATTTATGCCCCAATGCTGCTAACAAATGCATTCAAAGACTCCATAGAAAAAATTTCAGTCCGATCGGAGGCGGCAGCCTGGGGAGTTTCCCTTGTCAGTTGTTTACGTAAAAGAACTACTTGAGGCAATGTTGAGAGTCTTTCTAATTTCAAGAATGAAGGTGTAAGGTGTATGTGGCACAAGGATTTAGGGCATGGAGGTTATCCCTGAGCCATTAAATCAAATTCTCCAACCTCCAGGGCGGAAGTTTATGCAGCTTATGCATGAGTTGTTTCCTCTAATTTTGATACTTCTCTTCGTGACCAACTTATCTCGTTCATGGATCATAATTTGCTGAAGATTCTGTAGTCTACTTCATCCCGTAACTATTGGTCTTGTAGGTTATGCTGATCCCATCCTATTTAAATACTGTAAGATTTGCGGCATTTATACCCAGCTCATCCTGATAAACCGTATAATTTAGACTTGCTCTTCACTCATTTCGAACTTGTTTATGCTTCTGATTCTCATTAAAATCTTAATTTCAACAAAGTACCTCCATAAACAGAGTATGGCCACTGTAGGCCTATTGGAAGCTTATACAGGGTGTCCCAAAAGTCCGTACCCACCCCCTCTCGTAACTTTTGAACGGTTAGAGATAGAAAAACGAAACTTTGGAAATGTTACTATCTGAAAGGGGTCCATCCTCTAGGGGGGTCAAAATTTTTGTCCCCCCTCAGGGGGGCGCGGGGGCCCCCAACTTTTTTTTTTCAAATGGTAACCCCTATCTTGTGATACATCATTAGAAAGAGCATAAAAAACTAAGAATTTTGGCGCAAACTGCAAATCAATATCCTAATTTTAGACACAGTTATGATAGGTCAAAGGTCAAATTTGACCTATTTTCCAAAAATCATATCTCCGGTTCAAATTATCGTAAAGAAAAAAATAAAACGAGAAAATTTACCAAATTGTAAGCTTTTTCAAGTATAAATCACAGAAATTACTTCAAACTAATTTTAAGGGGGGTTTCGGACCCCCAAATACGTCATTTTAAAGGTTATACGATATTCTCGCGAAATGAGCCAATTTCCCCTTACTTTTCCTCATCATTATCTCAGTACGTTCAAAATTAGTTCAACATTGCGGTTTCAAGTCCCCAAATTTCGAACGTTCTAAAAAAAAAATGGAATTTAAATGTTTGAATTGAATCACTTTAAATTTCGTTTTTTGAACTTTGCTCGAAAGGGGACTTGAAACCGCAATGTTGAACTAATTTTGAACGTACTAAGATAATGTTGAGGAAAAGTAAGGGGAAATTGGCTCATTTCGCGAGAATATCGTATGACCTTTAAAATGACGTATTTGGGGGTCCGAAACCCCCCTTAAAATTAGTTTGAAGTAATTTCTGTGATTTATACTTGAAAGTGCTTACAATTTGGTAAATTTTCTCGTTTTATTTTTTTCTTTACGATAATTTGAACCGGAGATATGATTTTTTGAAAATAGGTCAAATTTGACCTTTGACCTATCATAGCTGTGTCAAAAATTAGGATATTGATTTGCAGTTTGCGCCAAAATTCTTAGTTTTTTATGCTCTTTCTAATGATGTATCACAAGATAGGGGTTACCATTTGAAAAAAAAAAGTTGGGGGCCCCCGCGCCCCCCTGAGGGGGGGACAAAAATTTTGACCCCCCTAGAGGATAGACCCCTTTAAGATAGTAACATTTCCAAAGTTTCGTTTTTCTATCTCTAACCGTTCAAAAGTTACGAGGGAGGGGGGGGTACGGACTTTTGGGACACCCTGTAGAAAAGCATCGAAATATGATATACTGCATGGTTAAGAGCACGCATGGCTATGTCTCGTGTCATATCAACATGAATTCAATAATTGGGCCGCTGAAAGATCCCCCTTTTCATTAGCTTCGCCATCTCAGGCTTTATGGAGCTCTTAGAGCGGGGGAAAATAATGGTGGACATTACATGCAAATGACTCAAAAGTGCAGATAATAAGTTTTTATTTGCTATTATGTATCACTGAATTTTACTATAATCATAAAGGTAGGTGTATTTTCTCGATTTTGCATCCAATTTTGTGCCGTAAATTTAATTTGAAAGGGGGAAAAAAAATTCAACTTGGGTCTGTACCACAACAAAGTTGATATTAAGCACGGCAGGTGGAAAAAGTCCAAGTTTGCAACACCCCTCACTCGCCCGCTCCCACCTAGAGTTGCCGCCCTTTTTTAGGGGCCTAAGAGTCTCTTCAAGACTCCTTGTCAGTGCAGCTGTGATAGATAAAAGAGTCGTTATTGCAAATCAGAAGTTTAGCGAAAATGGTCTCAGACCCATCTGAGTGGAAAAGTTTATTGGAGGAAGCCTCCGTTCTTGGTAAAATTGCCATCAATCTTGCAAAAGACTCTTAGAAATCGTTTGTATGATTAAAACCCGGCAGATGTTATTCCATCAAGTATATAAAAAGGGTATTTATTCATTTTCACGTTAGGTTAGTGTTAGGCAAGACATCCGTAAGTGCTACCTTCTGCATACTTTCGTGGTTGCGTTTTGGACTCACAACAAACCTATTTTCAAATTAGAAATTGGTAGAAGAGGGTGGCACTGTACTTGAAAGCACCGTTTTCATTGGTTCTCTCGAGGAATCATTTCACTCATTGCCAGTTTGCCTGAAACTACATCATCTTTCGCGCACTTTAACAGGGTTTCTTCTGAGGTCCACACAAAAAAATTAAGTTCTTGAAGCGAAAATTAAGTACTTCTTTGTTGGGAAAAATCAGGTACTTTTTAAGTACATTTTTACGACGTATTGCAATTTTTCGATAGCAATTACATTGTTTAGTTTGAGTTAATATTAATTACATCACCTAAAATTTGAATTTGACTCTTGATTTAAATTTTCTTCAAAGAAGGTACAAAATATAGTCTTCTGAAACACATGCAATTTAACAATCCGTACAGACGTTAAAAGAAAGGAAACACCTGAACTGATAACCTTCTATCTTCCTTTTTGTATTGCATGAATCCTGAAATGCTCCTGAATGCACCTGAAATTGCTGACACTACCATAAAAATTAAGGGGATCAGGAGGAAACATTTTCCAGAAGAGAGCTATTGAATATTAATGTTTAGAGCTGAAGCATATTTTGAAAGAGGGTTATTCAAGATAGGCGATCCCCCCCCCCCCCC